AGCAGGGAGAAAGCTCACTGAGGAGATAACTCACCTGCTCTGTTGCAGACAACTGCCACACGATAAGATGAACAGCAGCCAAGAACTCCTTTTCTTTGTGTTCCTTAGTTTGTATTGTAGGAGACAGATTTCTACACTGGTCGAATGAATCCCACACTGAAGGTAATGAAGGACTTCTAATTGATTGGATACTGAGTAAAAGAAAGGATAACCAGATGGGTACATTGCAGAGTACTAAGACACAGTGTACTCAATAAAAGCAGAGTTGATAGCAGCACCTAAACAAAGAAAAATAGAAAAAATACCTGTCATCCAAAGAAAGGTCTTAGAGCAAGAAAAGCATTAAGTCATTACCCTCAGTTGTTCTGATGGGCAGGGCGAAGCATCAAGAGATGAGGAAACCCAGTCAAAACCTGAAATGAGAGATCACAGCAGAATCCATGTGCAACCAAAAGTGCTCCTTCATCCTTACTCTTTAGGTTCTGTTCTTCAAGAACACTTTGAGAAATCACTGTGTTCCCACAATGGCCGAGACATCCTCAGGGGGCTGTGATCACCGCAGCAGTATCCTTCTGTTTGTCAAAACCAACTCTAAGAAGCAACAGGGGAAAGGACAAACAAATGAAAAGTCTTGGGGTCAAATTTCAGCAGGAGATACACTCACTCTTTAAGTATCGTGTATGGGAAGTTCTTGGCATCCCACAGAAGTGGAAACAGCCAACCAGGTGAACTTTGTGAAAGAAAAGGTCGTACCCGCTTCCAAGATAAGAAGAAGAGTTGCAGAGAAAAAGTTCTAAAAATCTTACATTCTCATAGTGCAAGCTTTGAAGGCTGAAAGCTAAGCCACTTGACCAGGCTAACCAAAGAGCCTGGATCTGAGCTGTAATCAAAGCACAGAGTGAGCAGGGGCTGGAGCGGTGCTGAACATCCACGTTAAATTGTTAAAGATGTCAAAGATGTTAAAGGTGTCAAAATGTCACATTCGCACCCTTCAGAGCCATGCTCAGAAAGAAGCTGGTTGCCTAAGTATTTAATCCCAAATTCTTTCTGCCTGATACATCATGTTTTAATTGCACAAACCTGCACAAAAGGAACATAAAGTAACAACAAGATCAGATTCTTTGGCGGAGGTTTATATGTGCATGTGTTTTACGTTTTATGCGTGAACTGTACAAAAATTTCCAGCTATGTAGGATCAGGACTACAGTCTCTTCTAGTCAAGTGCCTAAGGAAACATCCCAGGTGGGACAGTGATACAGTGATCCCCTGGTGGCTGAGGGAATGGCTACCCAGCTGTGAATCATCCTCGGTCATACTGTTAACTGCCGGCCAATTTCAACCCAAAGATCTCAACAAAATCCAAATCCAAATGGCTAGATGAAAAAAAAGTGGCTTATCTCAGTGGCTGAGATAAGGAAAAATCAGAATTTGTAGTTCTCTATAGCAATTATGCTTTTCTTCCCCACCTGCTAACCTGAATACAGAAGGCTGGGGATGACAGTAATGGAAATATGAACAGAACAAATTTTGCATTGGCTTTTTGCAGCTTTAGATACATTCACTGTGCTGCTGTGATCTGTAGTGGCAGCCACAACTCCAAAGGAAAAGAAAGCTGAAAAAACAACAAAAAAGATCCCACTGGGATCACACACCGTGGTGTTCAGTTCAATTACTTATTAAAGCACTGTCAGAGCATGGACTTTTTTCAGTACATTACTTATTCACTCAGAGCTCCAGCTCCCTCAGACTGATCCCATAAGGAAAAACAAACATCTTTTCCTGTTTGTTCCCCGCTGTAACACAAAAGACTTTAAAGACTTCAGGCTGCAAAGAAAACTGTTTGTCTTTGGGTCCTGGAACACCAAGAGCTCATAGGTGAGTCTGTGCAACTGACTGACTGGCGAGGGCACGGGCCATGAGCTAAGGATGCTGCCTGGGTTTTGCCACATAGTTCCATGACTCATATGCCACCTCAAGTGGTTTTGCTGGTGTAAGATGGGAGCTGTGGATCAGTTCAGCAGTGAACAATTTCCTCGTAACAATCAAGTTTTTTTTTTTCCAGGAGACAAGATCAATTTTCCATACAGGTTCCAGTACATTAGTTCAGACTGGGAATAGCTCAGCAGGTCTTCAAATACAGAAAATGACCTTTCCTCTGAACAAAGTGGGGACACTTTGCTGCTAGACTTGGAGTATAGCAAGGTCCTAATGAGGAAAGAGGGAATCAACCTTTATCTAGTGGAGGTAGAGGATATTGGCTTGCCTTCAGATTTGTTAGCTAGGATTTTAATTAGCACCGTAACGTCTTTACTCCAAACAGCCAGAACAACATCGCTAGACAAACCAGCAAAACAAAGCAAAACAACCCAAAAACACTTCGGGAAAAAAATACTTTTGGAAACCAAAGCACACCAGAGCCTTCCATCATTGGGGTCTTCTTTAAAGAGATGTGCACACAGTTCCTTGGCAGGCTAACGGGCATCCTTAGATATTACAAAAAAGAAAAGAGTGGTAGAACTCTTATAGCAGCATCTTCTCAAAAGACTTTTCTAGAGGGAGATTTATTGAGCCTTATTCTGTCTGACACTAGTCAGTGAACATGTGCAACTTTGGTGAGCCAGAGAAAAAAAGAGCTTGTCTATAAATTCTCATACTCCAGACAACATTCCTCAGAGGCCAGCCCTAATAAACCCATCACCACAACAATACTATAACTCAGTGGTGCTCAGCTCCTGGCCTTTCAGGGTCTGGCATCTGCATCTTTTCAAGGGACTCCTGCAGTAAGCAGAGAGTGCATCAGCTACCGTGAGGAAACAGCAGTTAATGTTAACATGGGACACATCAGAGAGCCCCATCCCAGCCCAACATGACTTAACATGTCAGGAAATGGACACATGTGGCCACTATGCAATGCAGCCTTGAACACAAAGAGCTCAGGCCCAGAGAACTGCTAAACCACATGGACTGTACACCATTAACAACACTGTCAAGAGCCAATAATCTATAAAAAACAATCCTTAAAAAAAAAAACCCTGTGTCTTACAGTCCTGTGATGGGGAACATGAGCCTTAAGTTTCTTCAACTAACTGGGAGTTGAGCTGAATGTCCCAATTCAAGGGCAAAGCCACAGTGCCACATGAGGTATCAGTCTTCTCAGTCCAGTGAGCCAACTGAAGAAACTGTTGTCAAAACTGAGCAAACATCTCTGAACCTTTTCACTCTCAGGTTTAACCCTGATGACAAACTGGTCACCAGGCATGGTTAATGACTACTGATGACAAACCAGTAGGCATTGCTTAACTCGCATTAACACGTTTTTCATAATTTATCTACAGCTTTGCTCAATGACAAAGCAACTGCTGAAGGTGGACGCCTGTGAGAAGTGTTATATGCTTTAGCACTGTACCTTAGGACCCAGAAATAATAAGCACATAAAAGAGATGTGTATTTACAATGCCACCTCTTAAAGGAATTGCTTAAAAGAAACTCACTTCAGAAACTAAAAAGGTAATTCTTCACCTTGCTGAGTAATCTTGCCAATATCAAAAGAAGCTAGAATTACTGAGTCATGAACAGGAATGGCACCATTAGTGCTCACAATGAGGTGCTTCAATAGAAAGGGGAGCAAAGAAAGAATGTGCCCACGTCCACCACATGCGGGGCGAGTCATTGCCAGGAGGTACCACTCACTGCAGCAATGCAGCAGGGACACAGAGCACTCCTGAACTGCTGTAACGTGAAGAGCAGGAACCTGAGTCACCTGCCTCCAGCAGGGACATAGCCCAGTTCTCAAGTCATAGAATCGTAAAGGTTGGAAAGACCACTAAGAGCACTAACTTCAACTGTCACCCCAACCACCACCACCATTAAACCACATCACTCAGTGCTACATTTACCCTCCAGGGATGGTGACTCCACCACCTCGCTGGTCAGCCTGTTCCAACACCTCACAGTACTCTACAAACAGATCCTCTACTCCCTACAACACCCTGATGTATTCCCAAAGCACACTACAACTTCCACAAGAACTGAAGAAAGGCTTCAGAAAGTCTTTCATTAACACGCTTTATTCATAGAAGAAATTTTATCCTAAGGGAAAAATACTGGCACTGTAAAATAGTGCCATAAGCTGTTCCCACTTGCACAGGGCGATGCAGGTTTTTCACTTAAATTCTGTGACTTCCATACATCCCTGCAGGAAGGTGTCTGGGGCTGTATTTTTTTCTAGGACTTTCCTTAGGACTGAGGAGTAGCATCAGGACAAGACAGCCACCAGTTCTGCTCAGCATCCCCAAGAAAGAAATGATATATTGGTGGTATAAAGAAAAACAGTGACCTTCATGCCCTATTAGGAAGAGAGTCCTATTTCTGCACTCACACTCAGCATGAAACAAACAACTTTATGGCCATGACTCCTGAAGGAGGAAAAGAAAGCAGCATAACCCCAAACAAGCGTGCAGATGGAATGGACTCTTTATGAAATTGAATGAAAATATGAAAACATGTAAAAACTTTCCACATCTTTTTTCATCTTTTCAAAGCTAACATCAAATAAAACACTGAGCAACCAGACCTGCATCTCACAGGGTAAATTCAATGTATTGCCTTTGCAATTTCCACAATTTATAAAATCCAACATCATGCTTTATCCCACAGCAGATTTTCCATAGCATCATGAAACAAGAATTTCCTTTCTGTGAGGATCCCAGTGAATGTTCAAAGGCTTCCATCAGATGGACATGAATATGTTCATGCTCTCTGTTGGTGTTATGTAAGCAAAGAGGAGATAAATTATAGATGTGCAGAAAGATAATTTTGAAATACATTGGGAAAAGAGGTCATGGAATGAAGATACAGTACTGGGTGGGCATGTAGAGAGCCCACAGCACTGAACATGTGGAATCAAAGCTCATATACAATGGACTTCATGCGCTCATCCAGATATTCCTAATCAGCAAGTACCATGTGAAAAGTATGGAAAAAACCTGAAGTCACAAACACACAGAACAATGATTTTTTTTTTTAATTAGATTTTCAATCATAGTGCAACTTTTTCCATCAATATACTGAAACTCAGCCATTTAACAATGATTTGTCTACAAAGAGGAACAAAATGATTTAAAGAACTCCACTAAATTCTGAGCAAATCTCTTCTGATCTCTTTGGGAGTCCACTCTGCAGCCAACTCATAAATTTTGTTTGCTTGTTATTTTGTGTGACAAGAGGAGGTTGGGTTGTAGATCACCTTCTGTTCAAGCTCCGCATATCTTTTCAAGAGTGGACGATAGAGCTAAAAGGGAAAAAAGAAACAAATGCCTAGATTGAAAAATTAGATTTTTAAATCACGCTGCAGTTAAAAATATCTTCAGAGCTCAAAAAGTAGCATTGTCACAGGCAACTGCAGGTTTGAGGTTTCTTTTCCAATTTGCTCAAGAAATGCTGCAGTATCTTCCACCTTCAAATGTCACTGCCTTTTTCACCATCTCCTTTACAGCCTAATTTTATGACACACACAAGTTGTTCTTACTGTGATTGTATTCTTGCTATAAGCACAAGTCATTGCTTCCAGAGGAAGCAGCTCTGCTAAAGTCACCTCTCCAAGTCAGCCATGCCCCCTCAGTAATAGCAGTCCTAACCATCCAGGCAGAACTCCTGTCCTTGCCTCCCTCTGCTACCTCAGGACGGATCACTGCCTCTGTTCCCTCCTCCCCTGCCTTGCTGATGAGCCCCTACCACAGTGCAATGCCACTGTCAGAAAGGCCAATAACAGACCAGGGCATTCTAAAATACACTTCCCACGCCTCTCATAAGCCCATATCTCCTTTAGCTTATCTCCCTTGCACTTTTCTACCCCATAATCCTTCCCACCTGTGATGTGCTCCATGCCCTGGCTCCTCACACTGTATATCCAGGGACAAACAAAGACTCAGTTTATTTCCACAACAACATGGAGCATCTGAGCAGCTTTTTCCTGTTTCCTTATCTAGAATCCACCAGGGGATTTTTAGATCAATTGTTACAGCCATGAAAAGCAGAATCAAGATTGAAATGTACTCAAAACTCCAGACTGAAACATGCCCTATGCTTCTGGACATGGGCAAGATCCATGCTGGAATTTGTTACATTCACTATATTACTCTTTTTTCTTCCTTTTTTTCTTCTGTTTCAAATTCATCACAGGACATATCTTAGAAGATGAACTACTTTGTATGTGACCAGCTTACACAGAAGAAATTCCAAATAAAGTCTAGCCCTACTGCAGGCTGCAATCTAAAACTGTACCTCTTCCAGATCTGGGAGATACACCTTCCTCCTTACCCCTACGTCTAATTTTAATTGTCCATCCAATAAAATAAGAAATTGATGCCATGCCAGGATAGCTTCACTCATTTGTTGGCACTAGCACAAAGAGGGGACAGCCAGGAGCCAGTGTGGAGCTAGTACAGCCTCGAGCAGTCCTTAGGAGGATGCCATAAGGTCATATCCCTGCTGCAATGAATCCTATGGGCCGCCAAGTCTAGTCTACAAGCCCCCTGCACTGATGTTATTCATAATAAGGGCAGTCTCGCTCCTGGCTCCAGGTTCAGTGAGGTTATAAAGCCATAATGAATCATATCCAGTAAACTGAATTACGGCTTTCATCAATAAGGGAGATCCAGCATTTAAATGCATTTTCTCCTTTTCCAGATAAGAGCCACAGCCAACAACTGTGTATGTATGAAAAAAAAATCAGGAGGGAAATGTTTCAAGTGCAAATGCAGGGAGAGGAGATGCTGTTCTTGTGTATTTTATGTATAGTCCTCAAGTAGCCTCAGTATCTGTACCTGTCATTTCAGAATCATAGAATCATTAAGGTTGGAGAAGACCTCTACAACCATCTAGTCCAAATGTCCACCTACCACCAATATTGCCAATATTTTCTTGGTTAGAAGAAAAATCCACCAAGTGTTTGCACAATTTTCTTATCTAGGGAATACAGAATTAACACGCTTTGTTCTTGTGCTTCAAGTGATGGTGAAACATTCAGTTCTTGTTTTAAAGCTTCAGTCTGAACAGCAAAATCTGGACTTAATGCTTTGTTCCCACTTCCCCTGTAGCAGGTGAGTGACTTATGGGTACATCCTGCAGAACAAACTTGTTCTGATTGACTCCTCCCTTTCACCAACAAGATGTTGCAGCAGTTGAAGTACATTTCTTCAACAGATTAAGCATATCAAGGGGAAGAAATATCTACACTAAGCAGCAACAGACACTGCTCACTAGCCAAGGCCTCATCAGGACGCTGTTCTCAATCAATTTTGCAGTGATTAACAGTCTTACACCTGTCACACAGAAACAGAAACCTACTCAGTGATACTCTGTATCACACTAACTCCATGATCTTGGGAAGACATTTAACATAGAACCACAGAATCGTTAAGGTTGGAAAAGATCTCTAAGACCATTCAGTCCAACCTCAACTCACCCCCACCATGCCCACTGACCACATCCCTTAGTGCCGCATCTCTATGGTTCCAAGGACGGTGACTCCACCACCTACCTGGGCAGCCTGTGACACTGCAGCACCACTCTTTCTGAGAAGTTTTTCCTAAAATTCAACCTGAATGTCTCCTGACACAACTTGAGGCCATTCCCTCACATCCTATCACTGTTACCTGGGAGGAGAAGCCTACCCCCCACCTTGCTATAATCTCCTTTCAGGCAGTCGTGCAGAGTGTGATAAGCTTTCCCCTGAGCCTCCTCTTCTCCAGACTGAACAATCCCAACAAACTTATCCATGCCCCAGCTCCTCTTCTCTACAGAGCAGTGATACCAAGGTCCATGGAGACTCACACAGATTACTGAGTTAGCAAATAAAAATCACTACTGTTATTAAGTGCCACATGGCTCAGCATACCATTTCTAACTGACTACATGGGGGCCTTGGGTGTTCAGCGAAGTGTATACACATATTCTTTCCATGTTCCCAAAGAATATTCTTGCTCCCATTTCTGCTAAATATGCACATCAGAGTAAACAAAATACCAAGCAGGCAACCACCACTATGCTGGGAGTATCGGTATGTCAAACAAAAATGGCTCTTTTATTCACTGAAGCATTTATAATCAAGCTTCGCTATTTCTTACTTTGCTATTCTGTAAATCTGAAAAACCCTAAGCACTTCTCAACAAAGATTCAGCACAGCAGAGCTGCATTGGTAAGTGTGCTCAGCTCCTGAGAAAGGCGGCTCCTTATTACTTACCCAGCAGTGCTCTTACAGAATACACAACAGCACATTCACTGGAAGGCTGGGAAGTATTATTGTTAATACATCACACTAAATTAAAATGTGTCAAAATAAATGAACAGCCACGTTTACTGATAACAATCCCTTTTCCTGTTTATTGGACTTAAGCACTTAGCTCGCTAATTGACAAAATTCAGGCATTTGCAATAACCTTCCCAGCCATTAGTGTAAATGAATGCTGCGTTTTGTACCACCTGAAAACAATGCAAACAAACCACAACAACAAAAATTCAAGACCACTGCTTGTACTCTGTTCTTTTGGGGGTAGCACAGTTCAGAGGGCTAACACAAAGTTTTAAATTCCTCTTCATTAGGGAATTTGGCTGTGACACCATCATGGCTGGTTAGCACAGCAGTGCTTCACGCCTTTCATACGCAGTGCTTTTCATAGCAGTTTTACAGCAGCTGAAGTCTGGGGCCAAAGCAGCACAGCTCCCAGGAAACACACGGAGAAAACCCAAGCGCCTTATGGAGAACCTGGCCTGAATGCACACAGCTGTGTTTGTGAAAGATCTTTCTCCACATCTGCTGCAGCTGAATCGCCCCTGCAGAACCTCAGCAGCTCCTCCTAAGCCATTCCAGGAGCCTTTTTCCTGAGGCAATTATATAGATTTATTTTTCTAATTGAGGTCCAAAGGGAATAAAGAACTCTCAGTGATGCATAAAAACTCAAGAACATAAATTCCCTCTCTGTCATAGCCTCAAACCTAATATATCAGACCATGATATTTAGCAGGAGTAATTACATGTATCACAACATGAACCTTATTATTGTCCATAATTTAATTGTCCTTGCTATATTATGGCCTTTTCTCCCGCTTATGTCTATAGCCAACTCTGCAGCATTAGCAGTATTCTGATGGCTTCATTTACAAATGCTGAACTTCACTCCTGGGACAACTTGGACACGCTCCGACAATCCCACAGATAAATAAGAAAGAAGAAATGACACAGATTACATTATAACTGAGAATAACTTGACTCGCCTTGCCTGGAAAAACTCTGCAGATAAATGTTACCTTGCTCTTTAATCTAAATCAAGTGTGTCATCCTCATATTTTATCTCACCATACTACTAGCCTATGAACTCAACAGGGCTGTTACCACTTCTTCATACTATTATACTATTCTTTATGCCTACAAGAACAGGACTTTGTCCCTCCTGTTCTCTATGAGTAAAGCCAGCTATAAATGATTACTGCAAGTGACAATCCCACGGATCCTTCTGTCTCCTGCAATGCTGTGTTAGCCAATGATTGGAGCAAATCAAAATTTACAAATTACAAAGATGATGCTGATGATTATCTAATTTTAATCTACCCAAGTACATTTAATCTACTCTGCATAGATTAAAATTAATCAGTCCCTTGCAAACACTTGCTACTTTAGACAGGTTCCTTTTTTTTTTTTTTCCTTTAAACTAAATTCAAATTACTTCGGAGATATGCTTAAGAAATTGAGAGATACAGATATTTTATTATAAAATCATCACAGTACTTCACCTTTTTTAACTCAAAAAGGATATGTTTAGGGCAGAAAGAACATGGCAGTGTCCAGAAATACCCTGAAGACGACTGCAAGGAACCATACCCCAACTGTCCCTTCATTTCTTTCACATATTCATTCTGTAAGCATATCTGAAACATTTTAATAGGCTGAAACTTATCGGTTACCCAAGTCACTTCAATCAAACTTTCATCAATACCTATTATCATATTCCCATACTTGTATTATTATGATCTGCATTGCACTAAATTAGCAACTTAAACCAATTTCAGAAAACATCCCACCCCCAAATATCTAATTCAACAAAAATATCATTATTTTAAATCAATAAATAGGTCGCTGTAACTTTCCTGGGTAACAGGGTCGCTTTTATAAACCCACATGCTTACAAAGCACATCTCCAAAGTCAAGAAAACCTGTTAGGCCCACATTTTTCCTTCTCAAATGAATGCAGAATTGATACTTCTCAATAGGGTCAATAGAACCATAGAATCATAGAACTGTTAAGGGAAAGACCTCTAAGATCATCTAGTCCAACCATCAGCCCATCCCCACCATGCCCACTGAACTATGTCCCTCAGTGCCCTCAACAGAGGGCAATCAAAAATTATATATCCAGAGGCAGTGAATCGTGTCATGCCTTCTCCCTGCAAAACCCTACAATATAAAGTGTTACAAGAAATCTAACATTATGTTATAGGTATATAATATAATATGCTTTGTATAAACACAAGTGACCAACCCCACATAATCATGTTCCCTCTCCTGCTTTTTTGCTTAATTAAACAACAAGCCAACCATCTCCGTTTAACAGATTGCTAGAACAGAGCTGAATTCTAACGCCATAATAATGGATCCTTTCTGTCTGTTAGCATATATTTACTACTCTATAATCTCCTGGTCATTTCTGTCATGCTTAGTATTTCTGATTAATCTTTTTCCCTTGGTGATGAAAAGACACCAGAGAGGTTAGAAGACTTTAGCTTTTGTTATTCTGAAAATATGAAAAAAAGAAAAAGAAATTCATCAGTTTAACCCACAGATGAGTAACTTCAACTGGTCTGCTTGAGTCATGACCAACAGTTATCACCACAGTGGTTACCACCAGAAGACCTTCTGATCCATGTGGGTGTCTACGTAATTATAAATAAGCTCAGGGTTCAAGGAGCCTCCATAGGCTACAAACAGTGAGTGGGCCCCTCACTGCAAGAAAGATATTGAGGCCCTGGAACGTGTTCAAAGGAGGGCAACAAAGCTGGTGAGGGGTCTGGAACACAGGCCATATGAGGAGAGGCTGAAGGAGCTGGGAATGTTCAGCCTGGAGAAGAGGAGGCTCAGGGGAGACCTCATTGCTCTCTATAACTTCCTGAAGGGAGGCTGTAGTGAGCTGGGGGTCGGCCTCTTCTCTCGTGTCATTAGTGATAGGACCAGGGGGAATGGCTTCAAGCTACGGCAGGGGAGATTCAGGCTGGACATGAGGAAGTATTACTGTTCAGAAAGGGTGGTCAGGCACTGGAATGGATGCCCAGGGAGGTGGTGGAGTCACCGACCCTGGGGGTGTTCAAGGAAAGGCTGGATGTTGTGTTGAGGGACATGGTTTAGTAGGAGCTATTGGGAATAGGTGAACGGTTGGACTGGGTGATCTTTTAGGGCTTTTCCAACCTTGGTGATTCTATGATTCTATGATTCTAAACATACTGTGAAATCATGTTCAGCTGAAGTGTCAAGCACAGAAAGGGATTTGTTCTCTTTCGGATGGTCATTTGTAGGCAGGATGGTCTGCTATAACAGAGTCACATTTTTGCCAGACAACTTGCAACTTGCAGGACTTCAGTTTCCTCTAATCACTAACTCATCACACATCACAAGCTCTACATTTCCCATCTTGTGACTTCATTTTACCTGGCTGTCAGCTTAATTGAACCTGAAGAATTGGTTTTTGTGCCCTGCCCTCCCTTTATGAAATCAAACTCATTATCACAAATACTCATTTGGCAATCGAAGAAACATTTCTTGCAAGTTGTGTTCCTGGAAAGTTCTGCTGTGTGCCCAGGCCTTGGCATCAAAGAGGAGGCTACATCAAAATGTTGCTGACCTCTGTCTATAGGAGGTTTTCCTCCTTCTAAGGTGTAGCACATGTTGCCTCCAATCTACACCAAGAAGAAAGGACAAAACTAGACCAGATTGTTGTGTTATGACCTGTTTTTTCTCCACTCTGCCAAGATTTAACTGTAGCTGTCCAGAAAATGTAGGGAAGTGGTCCAGGCAATTTCATATTGGTTAGCCAGATTCTTTCAGAAGAGCTCCTCAGTGAGACAGAACCTAACCTCAGGATGACTTTGAAGTTTATAAAAAGAACCGTCATTTAGGTGAAAGCCTCTAAACTCAACAGAATGAAATTGGACGGACAGGGAGCTGCAGCTCTGTAAGAAACAGAATCAAACTGACTCATCACATTATGAATTTTTACTGCACTGTTCGTGCTAACACACTGTATTACTGACAGGCCCCTCTGGCTCTCTGCAGTTTCACAGCCATGAAACTAGCCAGGGAATCCACCATCAACTGTAAAATTATAAGACAGGAAGAAAAAAAATTGTGTGGAATACGTAATTGCAAGAAGCAGCTCTTAATGGAATGAAGCTGGCAAGCTAAGCTGAAGCACAGGAACAGTTATTCCTTCGCATGCTGTTCAGCCGCTGCCTTCTCTATCATTCACTTCTATCTACTGGGGCAATAATTCTCTGCTGTACATCATTTAAAACCAATAAAAAGATGTGCGATGAGAGCCAGGTCTAACCAAGTGGAAAAGGAGAAGAAAAGTATCGAGAGGGAGATAATTAACTCTTTTAGCTTCCAGGCCGTTTTATGCAGACAGTAAAATAGGAAGAGGCAAACGAATTCCCCACTGTTTTTTCCAGCTAGGCTTGCTGGCCCCTGCAGGGGCACAAGGTGCTTGCTGCTCTTGCAAGCCCTCTGTGAATGACAGCTGTATCCCCTGCCATTGAGCTTTATAGCTGAAGCAGCACTGGGGGTCACCAGCAGGTCTCAGAGCACTCTGCACCTCCACCAAAGCAGCCTGTCAGCTCTCCAGCACTGAGCATTTTGGGGGTATGAGGCAGCTACGTGAGGCTGGATCAGACACCAGGGAGCTACTCCTGAAGCCCCCACAGGAGCCTCCAGCTGCAACAGATGCGACACAGGCCATTGCTGTTAATTATCTTTCAGAATGAGGGGGGTAAGTTGAGTAAATGAGATCAGATCAATCAAGTTTAAATTATTCAATGTCTTAATATTTCTGAAGGGGACTTCTATTCGATTACTGAGCTCCTCCATCTCAGTTAATAATTAAATAATATGCTGGCAGGCACAATGCAGAATGATCATTTCTATTATTACTCACAATGATATCTGGTGCTCCAGTACATATGTAGCTGGGAGTTAGTAGTTTTGGCAGATCATTAATTTCCCAGTTTAAATAAAAGCTTTAAAACCTTGTTGCCTGTAGTTAGGGCATAACCAAACATCACAAGCAGTGATGTGTGTAAGGCTGTCTAGATACACAGCTGAAGATGGAGGTAGACTCACCTTTGCTTCTCTAAACTCATATTCTCCAGGAATTCTGCAATGTTGCATTTTTGAATTTATTAGCTGACATTACATTGCAAAAGCTGTTGTAAATTAAGGTGTCTGACATTCGGTAGTGAGAGGTATGAGGCAGCACTGTAAAGACCAAGACAAGTCCTTTGTGGGCAGGAATACAGGCAGAAATGGTGTCATTAGCAACAATGATCACTTGTCTTGCTTAATGTACGTGGCCCAAAAAAGCACAAGTTTCACCTTCAGATTAGCTGAAATTCTCAGGATGAGCAAAATACCAAAGACCTGTGAGTACTCAATTCTCCAAGCTGGCATGCTTTCAGCTGTTCCAACTGAGAAGTACAAGAAAAGACACAGGATTGCTGCCACTGTTAAAGATCTGGAAAGCACTATCACCATGCCTTTCTCAAAACTGCAGCCTGCAAGCAAGAAAAGGCTGTTTTGTCAATTACTATCAGTTACAACCTGATGTGTATCCAAATTCAACCTGTTTAGGAAGTCGCTTTTGCTCTCCAATCACACCCAGTTAAGGAAAGAAAAAAAACATTTTCTCAGACATAGAGAGGACGATCACGCAGATTACTACATCATTACACCTGCCATCTCCTTAAATTAAATCAACTTTCACAATAAGAATTAAGAATTGTGCAACAAAATATTACTTAGATTAATCCATTTTTTCACTAGAAAAATTAGTTTACTACTACATTTTGAAGCAGACAGAAAACGAAAAGAAAAATGACATTCCCAAGCTTGCTCACCTCCTCAGCCCCAGCAGTTGGTGTAACAGCCAATCTGGGCTCTGGTGCTAATTTCACAACATCAGCCAAGGGCACATTTGTCTCAGCTACAAGTCCTGCAACGAGAATCACAATCCTGATCAATGCAAAAAGCAAGATGAGGGATGTGCCTTGACTCCCTGGCAAATTAATACCTTATATTGATCTTCCCCAGTCAGGTCAGCATTCAGGATTGAAGGATAAATGGCAAAAAATCTTACATTCCAGTGCACCAGCCTGGGAAGTGGGGATGCTGTGATTGAGTTTTTGCCAATCACTCAATACATACCCTGGAGAATAGGCAGGCAGCAGAAATGCTATTCAACAATATCAGTAATTATTTATGGTTACAACAGTATAGTAAACAGCAGTGGAAATATGTGGAAGCAAGAGATTCAAGGACAAAATGTGACTAAACTAAAAAGGAAGTGAAAAGAGTGTCAAGAAAGCATGCTGCAAATCATTAAACACATTGATATATAAGGCAGCAGAATAACAAGAGTCCTACTACCACAGCATGTTGCTTTGCAAGTGGATCACACCCTTTTAGGAGTTCCTTGTTACAACTGTAAGTACCCCAGGTGAACTGTGGAAAACCCTACTTGTACCCAGATGTACACTCTAATGCTATTAAAGAGCCACTGCCATCAATATTTCATTTATATTAGGAAGTCTTTGCTCATACTAAATTCCTTTCCCTGGCCAAAAGTGAGTCATCTGAACACATCAATCAAAATTGCCATTTAGAAACACACAAGGCATGCCCCCAGGGCTTGAATGGCAGAGCACCTGAGCTCAGGAGTCTCTGTGACAGCACAGCATCTGAAATCCTTCCTCAAATGCTCTGTCAACCAAGCCTCAAGATTCCACATGCCAAACTGGCAGAGCGATTTTATATCTTCCATACATATGAAATCACTGAAAAAAAACTATAATGATAGCTCTACATTCCACTTGTATTCAGGGGCAAAAAGTTTGCTTGTAGCATTATGCACTGGAAAGCTTTTGAGGACTGCTGAAGCAGTAGGCAAAGTTTGAGCACAGAGTTTGGAGATTTAGCCTCCAAGGTTCAAAAATAGTCCCACTGTGGCTTAAACACACTGATAACATTATTGTACTGCTTACACTGCCCTGCCATGCTTTGCCTGACAGAATCCCTGTGACTTGTCTGGAAATAAAACAGAGAGCAAGTTGTGTGTGTTAAACATACTGACTCAAACTTTTGGCTGTGCTTCTTTCAAATGCAAGAGAGCGTGTAGTCTTCAGATGCTATAATGTGACAGCAGAACTTGCTTCTAAAATTACAACTTGGCTGATTTTTCCTGATGACTGATGTTTTCTCTTCCATGCATGTGCAATGGTGTGGATCTTACATGAATCTTTACAGGAGCTATCCATTTCTGGTTTATTGGGCACGGTGGTGGTGATGGGCTGATGGTTGGACTAGATGATTTCAGTGGTCTTTTCCAATCTTAGTGATTCTATGAGGAAAGGCCAAATCCTAAAGCTTCTAATCAGAAAAACAGTTGGCCTAAACAATGACTTCAGAATTTGATCCCCACTCCTTAACTTGTTTAGCAATAATGTATTAGAAACTTACTTTAAAAAAATACTTTATTAGAATGTCCTGTCTGAGATTGAACTCTTAAATGGCTGAGGGCCTAACCTAAACATAGCACTGCACGCATTAATAAATCCAAGTTCATTAACACTTTAAATCTGGGTCTTGGACTGTTGCGTCACGCTGAGTGATACGGTACACTGAACGGAATGACTGGGTAACCTAAAAGCATCCCAGAATGACTGGGTAACCTAAAAGCATCCCAGAATTTATGCTTTTACAAGACAGTGCACACAGCTCGAGTGTGAAGCCCAGCATGCTTGTATACTGTATGTCTTGACATTTAAAAGCTGGAAGATATATAAGGTTTAGAAACATTTACTGGGCCAGCAGTATTCCTGGACTTGTTGTCTGTTGTCTTGGAACCGCTTTGCTAGGATGGATCTTTAGTTTGTTAGACCACTTCAGCCACTCAGATGGCAACTCAACATGTAAAGCTCCTAGACTCTAACCTGCCAATCTCAGCAGCTTCCAGGCCTTATCCCCTGGTTGAGAAGCAGCTTGATCCAAGAGTATTAAAACAACTTCCCCCTTGCTTTGACCTCAGCAACTTTCCAGCCAGATTCATCCAGTTTTATTCCCCTCTCATTTTCAATAGCATTAATCCCAAGTATCAACCAACTGAAATTAAACATCTAGACCACTCAGAAGTATCTCCTCACAGTCTTACCATGAATCGCTCTGTAAGCACTTCCTAAACAAGCAGAGTTGGCGGTATCAATAGTGTACACTGGAGCATTGAACACATCAGACAGGACCTGGGAAGTATCAGAGCATCAGTTACACACGTTCATGAAATACAAAGGATAAGCAATCCCTATTACTGCACAGGAAAACAGACATAATATACACTCCAGCAAAGCATTTGGGTATCCATGGAAAAAAGTACCAGAGGCAACACTGAGTCTCCTGAACTTGTGACACAATGGAGTATTGGTAAATCTGACCTAGAGATGCAACTACAGCCAGGAGATTAAGTCCCACTTCTCCTCAGATCTCTTTTCTAGAGATTCTAATTTCAAGCATCATCTCCCTCATGAGCCCACACAATCTGCCCATGCTAAAGGCCTGCATCAGGGATATCCATTTGGAAACGTGCAACTGATGCCTTTTTTCCTCCATCACTTGTATGGCTGACTCATGCAGAAAGGAAGGAGAGAGGAACCAGCCATGGCTCCCCAGTTCTCAACTTTGATAGCATAAAAGCTACAGTTTGCTAAACCAGTTGTCTTTGCTTCCAGCACTCCCATTATATTAGGGTTAGCAGAAGAATGAAGCATGACCTGATCTCACAGGCTTTACAAATACCAGGAGTTTTCCTGCATTTGAGTAATCCTTAGCTATGAAGACAAAGCAAGGCTGTGTGCTCTCAGCTTGGTTTGGCAGTACAAAGAAAATAACACAGGAAAAGAATCTGTTTTGGTATCTGACAGATACTAAGTTATTCCACCATGCACCATTCCACCCACTGCACTGAAATCTACACCAGCATCTCGCATTTACTGAGTGTATGCACTCTTACTAACAATGTAGTTTTAAGAAAATAGATACTGTGGAGGGAAAATGAAGACAAATTTGGACAGGGACACAGAATATTCAAGAACGCTTTACTGAAAATATTCTCAACTTATTCCTTCCAAATTAAACAGATATTTTGGTTTAATCTCCCCAAGGATTGTAGGTGTCCCTCAGGTCACACAAGAATCAAGCAGAAATTCAGATTTAAATTGCAATATATTGTATTACTTTTTCCAAAGTGTATCACCTGATTTACATCAGTATATAAGAATTTAAAATAAGGTTACAGTGTCCATAAACACAAATCAATCAGACTTGTGACCAGCAAAACCCCATCCAGGGATTCACAACCCCTCTGGTCATAGAATAGAATCACAGAATCACTGAGGTTGGAAAAGATCTCTAAGATCACCAGCCCAATCATCTACCTATCACCAATAGTTCCCACTAAACCATGCCTCCCAATACAATGACAGAATGTTTCTTGAACATCTACAGGGTTCATGACTCTACCACCTCCCTCTACAGCCCAGTCCAGTACCTGACCACTCTCTCAGAGAAGTATTTCCTAACATCCAACCTGAATCTCCCCTGGCACAAATTGAAGCCATTCCCTATAGTCCTATTGCCAGTTACATGGGAGAAGGCCAGCTCCCACCCCACCATAACCTCCCTTCAGTCAGTTGTAGAGTGCAGTAAGGTCACCCCTCAGCCTCCTGTTCTCCAGGCTAAACAATCCCAGCTCCATCAGCTGCTGTTTATGAGGACTCTGCTCCTACACCCCAAAATACTGGCTAGGCCTGATCCCCCTGCTCTCCTGTTGTCACATGTGGTGGGATATCCCTCAAGATGGGGCCCAGGGTTCATCATGGGCCCCATGGCTCCATAGAAGATGACTAAGGAATTCAATTCACATGCTACAATAAAAAAGATACGCAACATTTTTAAAGGATTTTGTCTCTTTCTCTGAAAGTTTGAGAGATATCTGCAAATAAAAACCTTAGATAATCACGAATTTGGGTTATTTGAAACAAAAGCCATTTAGTTACTAATTAGATTCCAATAAAAGCCTCGTCTTACACACTTTTTATGCTCTCTTCTGTTAACTGCAGTGTCAGTATTGCCTAACTTTTGTTAGTAAGCAAGAACTGAGCAAACAGTGAGCTTCACTGTTAGGGGACAAATGGAAAATTAACCACCGTATCCATTAAAAAGCCCTCTGGAAATTAGGTCACAGAGTGCTAGGTTCAAATATCCATCCTGTCCTGTATGGTTTCACCACATTCCCCATCTGTTTGTTCGTCTCTTCATCTCAGATAGGTATTCCTTGCCTTATGCTTGAATTTTAAATTCCCTTGAACAACAGAGGTCTTTTGTGTTGCACCTCTCTAGAGTCTTACACAATGCAGCTCTATTCAGTAATGCTAATAAGCACTGTAATCATACAAATAGTAACTACCTTTTGTGTGACATGATCATGAAATTAAAATTATTAAAAGTTCATACACTCAGTACATTACCTGAAACCACAATCTCTCTCACAGGTAATTTTCAAAGAAACTGTTACAGATTTTACTGTTACAAATATTTCACTATGTTTCATGTGGTCATTAATCAGGCCCACATATGTTATAAAAAGCTTCCCAGAACAGTGGAGAAAACTGCTCTGCTATAGCTGTAGATTTTTTTTTAAGCACATTTTCCCAAGTTGCCTTTTTTGCTATGTAAAATACAGGAGTTACTGAATGTTGATTAATTAAATGATACTCTTTTGTAACCCTGGAACAAATTATCCAAAATTGACCATGATAAGGGTGGAAGCCGTTATTCTTCATGCAACTGATATGGTTTCTGAGGTTTTGATTAAATTAAAAAGGAGGATCCAATTAACCAGTGATTGAATTAAGTGGACGAAACTGTATTGATCATATTATTTTAAGACACTTCTAATGAGTTTCAAAAGCAGCCCTATTACTACATTTGAAGAGCAAGCACCTCAGGAATCACTCTCATGACCACAAATTTTCAGCTATTTTAAATTACAGGTTACAAAAACATTCTGTTCTCAGCCTTCATTCCACAGCAAGGAGACCCTCCTAGTATCTAAATACTGCTTTAAAAGAAAATATCTATTAATTCAATCCCTTTCTTAACATACTCTTAGTACATTAAGAAATAGTAGAACTATTTCTGTGGGGACCAATATTTTAAGCCATTAACATACCAGCTAATTTTCCAACATCTGCTTCTTGAGCAAAATAACCAAAGCAGATGAAGTGACATCTACAAGCAAAACATTCCAAATCTGTCCTTTGTGTCCCAACGAGCTCTACATCCCATGGCTCTACAAACACACATTTTAGATGACAGGAGAAAGCAAGGTCTTTGCTTTTCAATCTCCATTTATTCCAACTCATGTTTTGTAGAACAGATCACATTCACTTTGTACAACTGTGCTCACCAAAGAATATGGGGTGTAGCTGAGGCTGGCCCCAAGAGTTTCTATTACTAATGGAAATGGACTGGCATCCAGAGAACACAATTCACCCTGTGCTGACTAACTGGTGAGCTTTGTGGTGTAGATGCCCATCCCCAAGCTCACGGAGCCTCTAGCCAAAGAGAAGCTTGTTGATGCACTCAGTGGAGTAAACCCAGGATATTCTTGGGACAAAGGATCTTAACCAGTGTTAGCTGTGCAGCAACAGCAGCAGATGAGGAAGATGGGAAGAGAGAGGAGAGACTACACAGAAGAAAAGGAGCTCTACTGATACGTGACACAATGCCAATCAGAAATACATGTTCAAAAACACCAGGGACAGGGTTTAGAATGGTTCTTCTTCGGTGGATTTAATTGTTTGAGTGTCCAGAACTAGGGTAATCCCTCTCCAGTTTCAGTCTGAAGTCCAGTGCTGACTTTAATGACAAAAACTATAAACATCTCAGGTATCTTACCAAGTCTCTTCTTGGTTTCTTTGCTAATTGATTTGACATAAGCAACAAGAGCTGGAAATCGCCAGTGTTTCAGATACACATCCATAAAACTAGTGAAGTGTAAATATATATATATATACACATATATAAAATAAATTTAAAGTTCGATACAAAGTTAGCGTTGGTCTCCACAATAAACCTGAGGAAAAATCCTAATGACCTGAAGCAGTTTCACAATCCCATATCCACACCTTCCCACACAGTTACATTGATTTGGATTCTGTATACCGAAATAAAAATGTAGATATAATCAGCTACTTTAATTTTCTGCTTACCTGCAGTATTTTTTTATTATGGGAAGCTCCACCTGTAGCCAAAATTCTTGTTTTGGGCACTGCAATGCAAAAGAACACACAGATCAGACTGAAAGCGCATATTGTCCAGATCTGCACTACTGAACCAAGCAATGAGAATGAGGAGGGCAAGTCAGATGGTCTGAGCTCTCTCCCTGTTTCTCTAATTTACCACGTGTAAAAAGTGAGTACTGTCCACCAAGACTCATTAGAACATTTCCTTAAAAGAGGCAGTATAGGTTTTGCACATCTATTATTATTATAGCGCTATCAAGTCTGGGAGATTTGCAAAAGAGATATTCAATAAAAAGGCAGAGTGTTATTATACAACAGCTCTGGTTTGAGGTCAGATTGGTTTGGCTCACAGCTGTATATATAAAAGCTGACAGGTAACCTTTAAAACCAGCAATATTTTCCAAACTTATCTCCTCACGACGTTCACAATCAGAGTTCACTGAAACCTGAGCATCCCTACATGCTTGAATGACAAGGAAGCGTGTCAGAAGGTAATTAGAGATGGTCTAAATCAATTCAGCAAAATAAAAAATTACATAAATCTCTGTCCAATTAAAAATCATAGATCTGGGGGCAGTGGGAAAAAAAAATCACCCTACACATTCTTTAGTCTTTACAAGAAAGCTACCCTTCCTCATTGTGTTCCTGACTTTCTGTCCAGTGCTTCATTATTTATCTGTGTACACGCTCCTCTGGAGCATGACATCCAACAGGCCATACATCTATCCACAGCCACAACTCAGCAAGGTATCACAAGCTTCAGCAGTTCAAGTATCTCACTGAAATTCTTTAAAGATTTAAAATTAAATGAATGCATAAATACTTCAATATCTTATATTTTAAAAATAAATCTACACACTTAATTACCCTAATCTATCATAATAATAGCAGCACAGTAATATGATCTATCACACTAACACCATTCTGTACATCCTCCTGAAAAGGGAATTTTACTGTCCTATTATTTTGTTCCTTTAACCTCATTTTTAACAAAAGCTAAAAAAATATCTTACATCACGCAAAGTAAACTCAGTCAATTTATACCGAGGCCCTAAACAACTTGTTGTCATTTGTCCTTAATGGCAAAATCCCTGAAGATAGAATCAGAAACAGAGAAGATGCAACTCACAAAAGGCTCCTCATGACATTTCTTGACCCAAAGTGAGGTTCTCAGGTGGAGTCTAAGACCCAGCTACAGCACTGCACAGAGGACCCTATCTTGCTGATAAATTTAATTTTATTTTCCTCTTTGGAGGATATTCAGCGATGCACAAATTGGGTTTTAAAAGCCATTAGGATCTCTGTCAATGTCAGTAAACAAATAAAACAAACAGCAGAGTGATTCCTCAGGGAAAACAAGTTTCAATTATACCGACGCAGAATGACAGATCCCTGCCAAGATTATCACAACAATGTAATAGCACAGAAACCAGTGAAAAATAACTAGCAAGCCTCTGTTCCTAGAAACCAAGCTGAACTCTAAACGATTTGCCTAGTAGTTGCAATTCTGTCTTGCTAAGCCTTGCTGCGAATATAAATTCTTGCAGAAGTATCATATCCAGAATGAAAACACATTTCAAAAACAGCCAGCAGGACGGAATTAGAAACAAGTATGTTTGCTACACTTCACAGGAATTGAAAGCAAGGAACAAGCCATGCTTACTACTCCCTGACTCTGGAGAGGGGCTTAATAAGCTGCTGGGCTGTCACCATCAGGAGAGAACGGTGCACAAGGCAGAAGGACCAAAGGCAGGCTGGAATCAAGGGCTGGACAGGAGTCTTCTGCTCATCAGTAGGTTGGGAGACTCAGGTTTTGCTTTTATTATATATCTGTGCCATCACTGTAACTTGGAACATTTCAATATAAATGAGTTACCATAAGAAAAGCAGGGGTAACATCACAGTGCATCTATGAGTCTGTATTTACCCTGCCTTTAGGTGAAGAAGGTACCTAACAAGAGGGGGAGTTAAATCTAAAGGTGTTTAACACCCCTATCTTAATCCTGACTAATTCTTCTGTAGCTAAACACTAGAGAATTATTTCAGAGTACAGTGAACCTAGTTGACAAAAGAAACTGATGCAGATTGTGCTGTGAAGTTTCAACTCTTGATTGGATACCTCAAGTTCTAAATTGAACCAACAACCAATACAAACACATACAGATGCAAGGAAAAGAAAAGAAGGCATGTCCTATACACGAAGGGTAAAATCATTAATTTTCCTTAACTAGGATTGTTTGCTTCACTGAAACACATCCCAGTGGGTACCAGCTTCATGAACCTTAGCCATTGCTATCTGACAAGAGAACCTGACCCACTGTACTGGTGGGAGTGGTCCATCCAGACGTGAGGAAGAGTGACCTCAGTGCTCAGCACTCCCAGCAGCAGCTCCACACATGGCCGGAGCAGGGACAACAGCTTTCTTGATTGAGTTTCAACCGCTTACTACAAACAAGGAGCCAGGTCCCAAAAGAACCGATCTGAATTAGCAGAATTTTATGTTTCTCTCTTATTTCAAACTCTCCTCCTGAGAGTGCGGGAAGTGCATTGATCACTGATTTCAGGGATTGCCTTTTTAATGCCAATATTGTGTGCTTTACTGAACGGTGGACATTTGCTCTAAGATGTGTAATTGGATACATCTCATAAATAAATAAAGCCCATCATTTATGGATACGGGGGCATTAACAAAGACATCATTCATCCATCACTAGCAGTGTTCTCAGCCAGCTGTGGGTGAATCTGTCAGGAGCTACCATCTATATCCCCTACAGCAGTGCACAGAAAGAACTTAAATACAGTGTTACTAAAAAAAAAACAAACAACACCAACTGTAGCAAACATAATTCAGGAATTCAATTCTCTGACAGTTGAGAGAATCAGTTTAAACATCTTTTAATTAAAAGCTCCTTGCTTAGTACCTAACCAACCCGTTTATTTCCTTCCTGTTTGAAATTTGATGATTTTTTAGAGAGCCAATACAGGATTTTAACCCTGTGTAGAAAGCATTTACAGCTGCTCGTGGCATGGCATTGTCCTGCAATATGCACCACTTCCGCAGCTGTATTATCTGCTGTGGAATACTGTGGCTGATTTAATTAAATTCAGTTAAAACAGTAATTGCTATGGCTGGGGGAGAGCAGCAGGGAGAAGAACAGTAAAGAAGTTCACTTACATAGCAAGATAGTAGAATCACAGAACAGTTTGGTAGGAAGAGACCTCAAAGATCCAATCCCCTGCCCCAGGCTGGGTGAAATCAGGCACTAGATCAGGTTGTCCATGGTCCCATCCAACCTGGCGTTGAGCAACTGAAGGGATGGGGCATAGATGGGAGTACAAGGTACTTCCCCAAACAAGACTGAGAAGCCAGCCCACAGCCAGTTTTTGTTACTGTTCCCACAACAAGCCCCACTATCTCCTTTAGAGATCCAACAGGAAGAACTGGATGATGTTCAAGTTCATCTCTTGGCTCTTGTTTTCAGTCATGATATTGCTTTCACCGAAAAGCATAAGGGGGAAAAAATCTGTCACTGGGAAGACAGAGAAATTAGTTATTTGTATTATAGATATTTCAGTGAAAGAAAGACTGCAGTCCTACGTGGCTGTATATTAACAAACATACAACCGATGCCTTTCCAGAAAAGCAAGCAGTTCAAGTAGAGTAAGATACAAAGTAATGGATGGACTGGAACAAAAATTTTAGAAAGCAAAAACTCAAAGAGCCAAGATGGACTTAGCAAGTGAAATGGGAATCAGCAAGTAAGACAGGCAGTCTCTCCTCTCACTATTCCCTGTAGCGGCCTTGGCACATAACTGTATCTATTCAGAAAAAATAATCACATAAGCAAACTCACTTCAATCGGAAGGTTAGTGCTGACGAGTAGCAGCACCAAGGAGGCTGGAGGCAAAAATTCACTCCCCTGTTCTAACAGGAATGGGAGCAGATCAGACTGCAAACAGGTCCAGATGTTAACATCAATGGGAAAACTGCTGGCCTTAAGGCTTTTGGGTTTGGCTGTATTTCAACTGGGCAGTAGGAAAGTACCTGCATCAGTCCTGACTTTTGCTAGCGCGTGCATAAAGTCAGGAAGAAGAACCTGAGGATGGAAACTCTTCAACTGTTCCATCTAAATTTCCATTGCTGTGCACAGCCCTGATTTGTACCCCAAACTCCAGGCACTTTCTGACATTCAAAACTCCTAAAACACATTTCCAAGGCTTCATCCAAACAACTTTATAATGTCTTTCTCATCACAAATGAATCCATAAATAAAACAGAACAATGGAACATGCATTCAAAAAGCATCTGATTACGCACATGAACCCACGCCAGCTATAAGTATGATTGCAAATAACTGCAATTTACAATTTGTAAGCAACAAGAAAAGTGTCAGCCCCTCCGTTATTTCTCTGATTAACTCCAAACACTATAATTTAAAAAAAAAAAAAATTATTTTCTAGCTTTTCATTCAAGAAAAAAAAAAACAAAGCAAGAATACATCATTATTTTGCCTCATTTATAAAACAAATGTTCCAAAATTTTCCTCCTTACATATTAACTCTTCAAAAACCCATGCTAATTATTCTTTTGCTAATACAGTGAAAGTAAGCACCTGCTACAGTAGAAGGCTTTTCCTATCAGTATCTTTGAAAAAGGAAAATTTGCAAGCTACCGAGTGCCCCTTCTGTGACTTTGAGGATGGGGTGAAAGGCACTTGCTTCTGCGCCTCATTGCACTACACTACTTCTGACACTTTCCAGGAGAAAAAAAGACTGCCACAAACAGCTGCAGCACAATAGACATTATCTACCTGATTGAGGTAAGAGCAATGTAAACCCTAACTCTTTTGTTGTTTTTTTTTTAAATTGTTTTTTTGTTTGTTTGTTTTAATTTACAGGCCAATGCAACTGCCTGAGTGAATAAACTGCAAGCTGGAAGCCAAAAAATAAAACAAATCCAGCCATCTTTACAGTACTAAAAAGAAGACAGTAATTCATAAGAGCTATTCAAAACCCATTTTTTAAA